TCTCTCTCTCTCTCTCTCTCTCTCTCTGTCTTTCTGTCTCTCTGTCTGTCTGTCTCTGTCTCTCTGTCTCTCTCTTTTTCGTTTTCTCTGTCTAAAAGATGATGATGTTGTGAAATTACATCTTTACATTGTGTTTAAGATGATGATGGTGTAAAGACACAACTTTAGGAACAAGTTATGGTGTGAAATTACAGATGATGTTGCTGTTAAATTACAACTTTACGAATATGTTTTAAATAGATGATGGTGTATAATTGCAACTTTATGAACACGTCTTCAAGGTAATGATAGTGCGAAATTATAATTTTACTGACTCACCTGTAAGAAGATAAAGGTGTAAAATTACTGCTTTATGCACCTGTCTTTAATAGATGATTTACAACTTTATGCACATGTCATTAATAGATGATTTACAACTTTATGCACATGTCATTAATAGATGATTTACAACTTTATGCACATGTCTTTAATAGATGATGACGTGTAAAATTACAACTTTAAGAACTCATGTTTAAGATAAGAATATTGTAAGCTCGCAGCTGGCAATACTAACACAACATTTTCTCCTTCCCTCCTCTCCACCAGAGATCAGTGCCCAGTGCCCTAACGCTACCTTCCCCATGGACTGCACCGTGTTTGACAACAACGACACCTGCGTCCATCCCATGACATCGACCACCCCAGCAGCCGTCACCACCACTGCAGCGCCACCGACCACCACAGAGGCAAAAAGTTTGTGTTCTTGTCCCAGTCTACTTTACTTTTGCTTTTTCATCCTCTGTTGCCGTTAAGCATCGAGGGGAGATGCAGTTTTCTATGGCAGGCCAGCTCCGCAGCTCTCTCAGTTGGGATATTATGTTTCTTAGTTTTCTTGACTCCCTCAATCCACCGTTTGCGTGGCCTTTCTCTTCCTTTATAGCCTGGGTGCTTGGTGTTACAGGATCTCGAGGTTGGCTGGCTACATCCCAGTTCTTGCACTTATTTTAAATACATATGTAAACAAAAACTTTTTTTGTGTATATAGATTAGAATACAGTGACGCTTACATAAACATACATCAGTGATGTAAACAGTGATATATGCAAGTCACATGGGGTTTTTTCAGCACTAATTCAAATAAGCAAGGTCGCAGAGCGAAATCATGAGGTCATCAACTTTAAAAGCTTTTAGATTCATCATTTAACTTCTGTTCAGCTATTGGTGTCATGCTGGATCTCAATGTTGAGGTTGCTACTTGTAGTCCCTGAGGGGGGGGGGGGGTGATACTCAACTTGGAATGTTTTGGGAAGTTTCCAAAGATAATAACTCTCTCGGCTAATTCGTTTTTGAGCACAGATTACTTTCAGAGGTCCTACCTTATATTTATTGGGGCATTAAGCCCACACTATTGCCATATCATACTGGTATGTAAAGTTGCATGTGTTTAAGATTGTGGATAACTTTAATAAGGTCTTCCAGCCGTGCAGTCTCGGCATTGAGAAGAATAGGACTGACGTGGTGCTAGTGTGTCGTACGAGGCAACTAAATGGTGAACCAAGTAGTGACTCCTGAAACAGAGTCATCCTGCCTCCAGGTCGGGGGTTGAGTCACGAGGCTAACAACCTCTCTCGTAAAAAGAACCTGTTATAGAAACACATACAAGCAAAAACCATTATGTCTGCTTGGCTGATCGTGGATCTTCTCCAAATGGAGAGTTTATTATGCAAGGCAGTGAAAGCCGAAAGTAAGCTGCTGGGCAGAAGCCTCCATCATCATCCAAGTTCAAGTCTCTTCGGATCGATAGAAGTAGAAATAGGACTAAGAAAGTGACGATGGATGGGACACACCTTAAGAAAGCCCAGCAGAAACATCACAAGACAGTCACTGCAGTGGAACCCACAAGGAGCACGAGGCAGGGGTAGGCCACGGGAAACATGGAGGAGATGCATAGAAAGGAACATGAGAGAAATTAAGCTCACTTGGAACGAGCTTGGAGGATGGCTCAGGACAGAGATAAATGGAAGAGCTTGTATGTGGCCTATACCCTGCCAGGGGTGAAAGGTATTGATTGATTGATTGATTGATGAATAAGGTCTTCACATACCACCCTGGTTCTTTTCGGCCTTCACTTTATTTTTATTTAAATGATGCTTCTTTTTCGTTTTAGAATAATTGTTTCATCACATTCATTTCTTTCTTGTTTGTCTTTCTAATCAGTCGAGTGTCAGCCTCTGGATTTCTCCATCTGCAAACATTTCGGCTACTCTCAAACTTCATTCCCGAACTTCTGGGGTGACATGACCTCACAGGCAGCAAACAAAACATATTACTCCTATGCAGAGGTGTCTGTGTCTGCGGGATGCTCCCCAAACATCGTGTTCTACGTGTGCAGTATGTTGTTTCCCTACTGTGAGGGCCCCGATGCCAAGCACAAGCTGCCCTGCAAGTCTGTTTGTGAAGGTGAGTAGATTACGAGGGGCATGTTGTGGTCTTGTTATGTTCTCTTGTGTGTGTTTATCGAGCGTCTCATATCTCAGTCTTTCAGCCGCGATATTGGTTTTTTTTCACCCCAGGTTAGCCCTTACAGGCAGAATCGAAGCTGGCCATCTCAGTTATGTAAACTGTGTTGATGGGGGGCCTAAAAATCCTACATTTAAAAAAAGAAGAGAGAAGTGTTGAAAATGGCATGCAATGACAATAACCAGTGAGAATAAAGGGAGAGAGAGAGATGAAGAGAGATGGAGGAGGGAGTGAGAGAGAGAGAAGGATGTTGTTGTTAGTGTGGTGATTGTTGTTGTTATTGTTTGCTTTTTTATCTCTTGTTTGTACTGTGGGGGCTGTTACAGAAGATGATGATGTAATTATAATTTTTATTGCCTCGTTAATGATGGTAATATTAGTGGAAGTGTTCATAAAAATGATAATGAGGAGAAAAAGGAGGTGGAGGAGGAGTATTTTGATATTCTTGCTATTCTTGATAATGATGATAAGGATCAGGAGAAGGATGATTCTATCAGTTTTCTTTGTGATGATGATGCTGATGATGACGGTGACCTTGATAATGCACAGATGATGACCACGATGGTAATCTTGATAAATCGAAGTTTGCAAAAGCAGTGTGTGTAAATGTATATACTTACCTAATTCCTCGTCGTACTGTATCTCCCAGAGGTCAACCAGAACTGCCCACTGTTGTTTGTCCAGAACTGCACCAACTTGTCTGATCCCAACCCAGACACATGCCTCGCTCCTCCAGAGAGATACGGTATGAGAAAATACACAGTGGAAGAGAGGGAGAGAGAGAGAGAGAGAGAGAGAGAGAGAG